TGGCAAAAATCTTTTCTTCGCTTTTAGATAGAATAAAAGCCGCCCTAGTGTTAGATATATCAAATTCTTTTTCCTCTTTTTTACCATTTGTTCCAACATCTTCTTTATTCTTATCTCTTCCATAGTCATATCACCTTCTATATAAACCTTCTTCCTCCTCAACCTTCTACTGTTTTTAACCCCTTGCAACTTCTCTTCCCACTTCTTCATTTTTCCCCATATACCTTCTTTATAACTTTCCTTCCCATAATCTCCCTTATAAATCTTTCAAACACCCTCTTCTCTTTATTTTCCTCTAATTCTGTTTCAAAAAACAGCAGGTTTATCTCTTCCCTTATTTTCTTTCCAGTTCCATTACCAATCTCCTTATTCACTTTTTTGCTCCTTTTCTTGTTTCTCTACATTCTTTTCTATCTTCAGCTCATCTAGTACCATTTCCTCTACTTCTACTTTCAAATTGTTGTTTTTCCCCTTAAACTATTCCTTATTACTTTCTTCATTTTGTTTGTCCAATCTTTTTTCTAGTTCCTATAATTTTATACTATGCTCATTCTCTAATTTTTTCATTTTTTCCTTTATACTTTTGCTTCCTTCCTGCATTTTATATAGCTTCCGTTTAAAGTTTCTTCATTTTTCTTCTGTTCCCCTTTTTTTGTTTTTTTTTCATTGTCTTTCCATTTTTTCTGGTTCTCTTACTTCATTATTTATTCTAGTAATTTCCCTAATATATCCATTAAATTCATTTCACTCTCAAGTTTTTCTATAATTGTTTTTTTAATATTCCTTATTTTCTTGTTGCGGTCTATACACTTTTCTTTTTTTATTTTAATCCTTCTGGTTTCTGCCATCAACCAAATTTTTAACTTTCTTTTTCAATTGTTTCCACTTTCAGTGTACCACTGGTTGTTTCTGTCTTTGAGCAACTCACTGTTTATACTATCCTCTTTAAATTTTTCTTCGGACAACCTCTTGAAGACCAAACAGACATCATAATTCCATTGCTTAGGTACACTATTTTTTAAAACCACAAAAATCACTCAAATCCTTTATAACTTCTTTCACCAAACACGTCCTTTCGATTAAACCTCCGACTCCGCTTCAACCATTACATCAACCACCTAATCTCATTACTCATAATCCACCTCAAACCACACTTTCAAGCCGAAACTCTTTACGAAACAACCAACGTCAACCAATGAATATACATATATAAATTTCTTCTTATTTTCAATCAAAACGTTCAAGAGATATCAGATGTCGACATCGACTTTTACTGATACATACTTTTAGTATTTGACCTTCAACGATGGCTAATCTTCATCATAAGGTCGTCAGTCCTAAGACTGTTTGGACACGCGCCTCCACTCTTTCCTATCCTGACCTAATCTTCGCATTTCCCTAGTGGTTAATATCAAATATTAATGTGAAAATTCATTTTCAATTTTTTTTACCTACAATAAACTACCTCAGATTAATGAGGAGGTTAATGGCAGGAGAAAACAGCAACAACGACAAACCGTACTTAGCTTAGTGGTCAGAGCATTGGTGGGTAAAGCCAAAGGTATCGGGTTCGATTCCCGGCGAGGGTGTGACAACAGCAACAAACTTTTCTTCATAAATTTGAGCTAATTTATAGTTGGTATAAGTTGAAAACGAATTTTCACATTAATAGTTGATATATTAACCACTATTACATATCAAAGTGTTTCATATAGATAGTATTAATATAATTAAATTAATTCGACAGATTAGTAACCTTTGAGTACGGTTTGTCGTTTTTGCTGTTGTGATCTCTCGTAGCCTAATGGTCAAAGGATTGATGCGTAAAGTCAAAGGTCCCAGGTTCGATTCCCGCCGAGGGTGTGACAACAACAACAAATTTTCCCTCAATAGTCTGAGATAGTTTGTAGTGTGTA